CTGCTCTTGTGGTCCACTCTGCTCTAAAAGAATTAGACAAGGGTTGCCGCGAGTACGCATGCGCCTGTCTTGACTACTCCTCCGCCTTCAATACCGTCCCGCGCCCTCTTCTCCTTACCAAAACATCCGCGTGCGGCTCTCCAGGCTGGGTCGTCTCTTGGCTTAGCGATTATTTTAATTCCCGCACTCATTTTGTCCAATCTGGCAAGCGGAAATCTACGATCCTTCCCAATGACTGCGGTGTTCTTCAAGGTTCCATTCTATTCCCTCACCTTTTCTCCCTCCACACCCGAAACGTCGGGCTAATAAAACTCTTGTCCCAGGTATCCTGTCTCCTTTTTCAATCGGCTGTCTATTAGAAGGGTTGGATTTGAATTCAGCGGAGGCTATGAGTGTCATACAGATGATACAGTAGGTGGGCTAACTCATGAAATATCAAACGAAATTCCGAAATGCGTTTTCGTTTCAAAAAGATTAATTAAGTAGGGTTGTAAAACCAGTCGGCCTGCAACATAATTCTATAATATTTCAATTACCTCAGGATGCCGGTTTTCAAACGAACTGCCTTCCGGCTGCATGCAAAAACTACACTCCTTAAAAATTGACTACTTAATTGGCATAAATTTTTCATTTTGATTTTTCAGGCCCCTAAAAGTGCAATTATATTTCATGGAAAATATACATAAGAATATTCATTCTTTTGCACATTCGGTAGAAAATTACACCTTCTTCCAATCTCATACTCGAAGGAAGGGTATAATTTGGTTTACAAAAACTTTTCCAATTTCCGAATAATTTTGATTCCGCTCAACCGTTACACTTGCATTCAGAGTTTCCAAACTACAAGCCGTTTATTTTCCGCGTAGGGAAAACCACACATTTCTCTACGGTCATAAAGGGGGACCATATAGAGTTCATAAGATTAAGTAGTGGATTCGATTCATGTTGTTAACTTTACAAGCCACATTGGTAAATGCAGAGACATGACGATTTATGAACGGCCATTTCACGGTATTTAAAAGTCCCACAATTAGAAACTTTTTTAAAAACTGAATTATGTCCCTCCTTCGAGTATAAAACTAAACTAAAACGTGATTTTATACTAAATCAGCAAAAGAATGAATATTTTTATGTATGTTTTCTATGAAATATAATTAATCTTTAGCGGCCTTGACAATCAATGAAAAAAATGCATGCTAGTTAAGTAGTCATTTTTTACGGATTATGGTTTTGGATGCAGCCGGAAAGACGTTTGTTTGAAAGCCTGCGTCCTGCGGTAACTGAATTATTGTAGAATTATGCTGCCAGATGATTGGTTTAACAACCCTACTTAATTTATCTATTCGAAACGAAAACGCATTTCGGAATTTCTGTTGAGACTTCGTGAGTTAGCTTACTTACTGTATGTACATTTACCGCTTCTCAGACGCTAGAGGTTCTACCTGGGATCCAAATGCGAAAAGTAGGGTGGGGGAGCGGGGGAAGGAGCGGTGGTGATTTGTGATAACACAGCGGCTAAAGTATTGAGTGCGTCTTAGCTACCACAATCTTCAGGTCAATTCACAGCAAATAGGAGAAGATGGGAGGCCCTCGGACAATTAATTTGCTCTGCGCAGAGCCCTGGATTGCCGTTTCGGGTAGGAATTGCCGTCTGACCTGACCAGGGCGTGCACTGTGGAAACGAGGGTATGTACATTGCAAAGCGTGACTGTCGGTGCCTGGAGAGTAAGAGTCTGTGTGATAGCCAGCCAAGGCAATAAATCGAGCGCGTCTCCATGAAGGTGGACGACCCACGAACGCTGAACGAATATGGCTTGCATCACTCTGGCGGTCGTTTGAAATAATTCTACACTAAACCTCGACCGAGCGTCTAACACTCGATGTAAATATGTCGGGTCTCGCGTCACACGCCGGTTTTTTGTCTGCGGCAGATTGGATTGCCAAATAGACCAAGTTGGGCCTTAAAAGTGCACTGGCTGTTTGCGTAAGTGAGTGTGGGGAATGACTTGTTTATGGTAGCGCGAGGCTATCCTACGTTCATTTGTTTCTGTTGATGACGTTGCTGTGCTGATTTCGAAGATGCCTAAGTAGGCTAATGTGGGTACTAAATGTACTGTGATGATGCTGGCACACACGGATAATACTTTGCGGATTGGGATTCGATTCCTATATATTCCGGTCTTGAGTCCTCGCTACTTCATTTTTGCGTCCAATGTTCAAGTGCATTGTTGTGCTCCTCTCACCAGCCCGTCGTGATTGTTGTTCATGCGACGGAGTTTATTGGTCTGATCTAAAACCTTTAAACGAGGAGCCTATCGTAGGTAGGGGGCGCTCACCGATCTTTATTGCGGAACCCACTCGTTCCGTTGTGCCTTAAGAGCTCTCTCTCTCGAGCCCAACCAGCAGCCGCACAGCGGCGCATGATACATAGGCAGAATAACATTACCGACAAAGACAAGGGAGACTCCTTTAAGCTTCTCCATTCCAGAGACTGCAATGGCCTATTAGCCGTCGTCTGCCAGTCATAGCCAAGCCCGAAGTGTGGAACACCCGAGCCTCGAACTCGCGACCTGCTAGCTAGAAGTCTAACGCCTCTAACCACCGGGCCACGAGCCCGTTGCCCTGTCGGTTTCGATCGGGAATATACAACGGTCGGTAATACCATGCTGCCTATATCATGTGCCGCTGTGCGGCTGCTGGTTAGGCCTGAGAGAGAGCCCGTAAGCCACAATGGGACAAGTGAATTCCGTAAGAAAGATCGGTGAGCGCCCCTCTACCATTGTATATTCCCGATCGAAACCGACAGGGCAACGGGCTCGTGGCCCAGTGGTTAAAGACGTTGGACTTATAACTAGCAGGTCGCGAGTTCGAGCATCGGGTGTTCCACACTTCGGGGTTGGGTATGACTGGCTGATGACGGCTAATAAGCCAGAAATGGCTATTCCAGTCTCCCTTGTCTTTGTCGGTAAGACCATACAGCCTATTGTGTGGTGGTAGTGGTGGTGGTGGCGCTTTTATTCTCCTAGAATAAGAGCTCAGATAGCGGTAGTAGTTCGCCAAGCAGATGTCGAACAAGAGGGCTGATTTATCAGCTTAATCAGCTCTTGACACCGGGAAGACAGAAGCCTTCGGAGGCACTTAGGGTAAAACTGTTTGACCCCACAAACTGATCCCTGATTGAAAAGCCCGGCTTCTTTATCGTGAAACACCGCAATCAGTAGGACTGCTGTTGAGAAGCGAATATGGAGACCCTCCCATACTGAAAATGGAGTCTCACCAGCTTTACTGGTTCGGGTGTCAGTAGTGCCGTTATGCAAAAAAGGTGCTTCCCATGTGTATTCATAAAGACGGCAAAATGATCACTGCTAGTTATTCATGACCACTAATTCCATTTTTCTACACTTCTCTTTCTTCTCAATCGTATTGCCTACCGAAATATAGTGCTTTTAACTCCATCGGTGAAGAGCACGTGTAGAGCATGAATGAGTTTATTGAAAGGATTCTTGGCAACGGTGGGGTTTAGGACTCCAACTAACTTGAACTGGCCTGTGGACTGTATCAAACGTTGAATGGGGGTAGAAGGGGTTTTACGGGTGGGACAACACACAGGACGGAGGGTAATAAGATACAGGAAATAAATAAATTTCTGCCGAAAGTCTTACTGCGCACTGTCATTTTGCAAAGAAAATGAACGCGATAATTAAAAAAATAAACAAAAAAACAATTTTCAAAACACTGCACACTTAATTAATCACCGCTTGCAAGTTTGCGTTTAGTCGGGAAGGCAAGGGAATTTTAATCAATTGGAACGGGGAAGAATATGTGTTGTTTGCAGTCACATTGAATGTTATTGCACATGTTGGAGTTTCCGGCTGCGTAGGGTTCTACACCCTATCGTTACCGGTTTGTTTATTACGAAACTATCATCTCTTACAGCTCAGGAACCTGGTAGTTGAAGCGCCGATTGAACCCGATTTAAAGTTCCAGTGTGCCAGTTCTGAGTAGGGTGGAAAAACGAGAGCAAACAAGCCAAACAAAGTCACTGCGCTTTCTCTTCTGCCCGGAATACTTTGCCTTAACCAGTTTTATGGAGCGGAGTACAGTGAGTGAAAAAATCGATAAAGGTTAGTTTTTAAAAGACAGGCTAGGCAAGAGCGGAAGGACGCAGAACGTTGTGTGGTTAGTCAACCTTTGACTACGGTAAGCGCGAACCTTATAATCACATTAAATGCTTCAGTGAGGTCCACACGATGCCCTGAATCCACTGCATGCGCAAGGATGGCGCTGTCTATTCTCCTAGTTTCACCTTTTGCCAGCCATGCGGGAAGGTGCTCTCGTATTCTTTTGGAAAGGTGCTGACTCGTACGACCAATATAACCTGCTCCACAGGAGCAAGTGAATGAATAGATTCAAAATGAGGTGGTCTGAGGTGGCAGTCTATCCTTGCCTTCTCCGCGTAAAATAGGGTTAGTGGAATGTGATATCCGACCTCTTGCTGTTGGGAAGGTTCCCGAGATAGCTTGATCAAGACGTCTTCTTAGGAGTTCACTTGCAGCGTCTCCTTGGAAAGGTACTTTGAGGAACGTTTTCTTTTCGGCGGTCAGTGTGGTGGGTTTTGCGGGTCGTTCGGCAAGGCTCTTTGCAAGGAGCCTGTCAGGATACCCTTTCATTCCAACCACATGCTAGGGTTTTCGACCGAAGCCTCAAAAAGAATGGGAGAAACCAGACTGTATTCGGCAAATAAGTCATATTAGTTAATATCGCCACCATGTGACTTGAGAGCAACTTTATGACAACTTCGAGTGTCTAATTTAGGCACAGAACACGTACGCGTCTATGCTTTCGTTAATTTGGTCTAAAGTAACCTTTGCCTGTTCAGTTTTTACCTGAATGTCCCCGCCGTCGTCAGGTGAAATTGTGAAATTCTGACGACCAAGAACCGTTAAACAGTCGAAACCCGTTTGACACCCACTCCGTACGCCGGATTTTTAATCCACACTATGCCAGGAGCGTCTCAGCCGGTGCGTTTAAAGACCTTCCGTCATTTAAGACCTCGAAAGGCTCACATGGCAATTTGGTATGCGACTGGGAAGCAGAACCAAATGCCAACAGCGGGATGTAATTGAGTCAAACACCCTGATTGGCTCTGCGATGCAGTACTTGTTCAATTGTGTGGTTGGAAATCTTGCACTTAGTTATGTCCAATGAAAAAGTCGGACCCGAAATTGACTGGGCCAATAGCGCAATCGGACGAAGTTGCTGCTCAGAGTGGATGGGGAGTGTGCTGAAGGCCGCGGGCACCACAGTTGTGATATACCTATATCGGTGTGTTCTTTGCCATTGATAGGATGTTTTGGGAATTTGATTGAAAGAAGGAAAGAGAAGCTGGAGCTGAATGAGACCGTGGTCCCCCAAAAGACCCCAAATGACAATTCCAGTCTCTCTTGTCGATTTATTCACACGACATTTTTTTCCAATGCCTTCTCCTGACTCGTTGATGCGTTCGGATAAGGTGCACTGTCGCAGACTGTCACGGATGGAGAGGACAGCATCTATTCTCCTTATAGCAGGCAGGACCGAGTTCGTGGCAGATACCTGACAGCAACGCATTGACGGTTCCCCAAACTCATCGATAGATCTGGAAACTCTCATCTTTGGTTCCACGATGGCCTGCTTAGCTCTTCGGCCATATCTCACCAGTCGTCCTTGACTGACGGAGTAAATTAGATGTGGTGTCCGGCATGCGCACGTTTCTTCCCTCCCCGAAACAAAAAGTCTTACAGAGAGGGAGACGCGTAATTCCGTCGGCTGCCTTAGTTAGTTCGGGTCGTCTCACCAGTGAACAAGAGTTGCTATCCACTGTGCACTTCCGTTGTCGTCTGGGCTGACTAAACAGCCATATTTAGACAATCACCACTTCGCTGGGAATGGGGGCTAAAAAGGGTGCCCTAAAAGTACTGGAAAAACACGCCGTCAGCAAGATGATCGTGTGTTATGACCCGGCCTGGTATCAGTGACGACATGAACCGAATGCGTACTCGACTGTTGACTCAACAACCAACACGGCAGCGAAAACAAAAAAAAATCCGCCACTGATAATACTTCCTATGAACGCGGACTTCTCGCAGACACGGATTACTCAAGCTCTAAAGGAGTAGCCAATGGGGAAAGGCTGTTAGTGTGCTAATAGCATGCTATGGAGATGTGCGTGCATGATTTCCAGTGAGAGTGGTTGACTCTTTTTTAGACATGTAGGCATTTCTAACACCATGGCCTTTGAATGCAAAACACGCGGTTAAAGTACTACAGGAAACGATAAACTCTCTTGCCATCATCTCCCTGACTCTCCCCCTCCCTGTCTGCAGGGATGAAACTGCTCACTGCGATGGTCGGACCACCACGATGCATAAGTGGTCAGTAAAAATGGTTACTCCTTTTTACTACGTATAAGCCTACTGGCCTTCCACGTCGCGCAATCCCAATGTTTCGCCCACAATCTCTGAAAGCAACTATTGCAGGAAGTTTAAGTCCAAAAAATATGTAAAGCTAATTTTAGCAATAGTAACATCAGGTAGGCGAATTGCGAGGTGGAAGTTGGCTCTGATATTTCGTCCATAGTAATCAAGAAGGCTGTCATTGCCCTGAGTGCGTAGTGATTAATAGTAATAGGGACCTGCATTTGTTGATATCGCCAGCATACGAACCCTGTCATGTGGGCATTTGGATCGAGTCTAGTATCCGCCAACGTAACGCGGAAGACGCCTATGTCGTTCTGCAGCCCGGTTAAGTCCCAAATGCTTGCATGAGAATCGGTGAGGTTTCTATGTTCAGTGAAAAATATGCGAGAAGGGGGAGTGCACAAATCCTCTAGATGATAATCTGGGATTTTTAGCCCGCTCCGGTCCGCATGCGGGCACCACGCTGATTGGCAGACTTGACAGGAGAACTTATGAAGGCATGGAAGGGAATAAAGGATTCCAGCTGCGGGAAGTGCAACTACGTTGGAGAAACCGGCCGATGGCTACAAACGCGAATGCACAAGCATAAGTTGGCCGTGCGAAGGTTGGACCCAAAGTCAGAGGTAGCAATCCATGTCGCGCAAATTGGACACATTCTCAACTTTGAGGCCGTTGAGATTGTGGACCGGGGCGATGATCGCACGTCAAGGCAGGTGCAAGAAGCCTGGATATGCACCGACTGCACTGTCAACCGCCACATCAATTTGCCTCGCGCCCAATCTGACTTTACGAACCTCCTTCTTAACGGGGGGACAGTCACGGCGCGAGACAATCAGGGCCGTCAACTATCCCGACGGCCGACGAGGGCGGGGACAATTCAGATCACGGTGGATGCAGCCACACAGGCGCCATTGGCTGGCTACGCATCAGACAAAGCGAGCCATATAAGGAGAGCTGTGCGCATGGCTTCCCAGTCTCTGAAGATGAGTAGACGGAACAACTCACCTAAACGCCAGACCTCTAATACACCTCTCCCGGTGAATACCTCCCTTTCTTTTGATTCCAGACTAGTTGGACCAGTGACCTCTATGGTGCAGCAATGCATGGAAATTGTCCCTGGCGAATGGTCGTCCTTTAATACCGACCAAGCTCTGTACGAATGTCATGCAACTGTGGATTATGAATCGTCCCATTTTTGTCCATGTAACAAGGTGAAAAACGTAGTTAAATCACTTTAGTGTGGACATTTCTGTAGAGGTGCGCTTAGTGTCTGCGTCAACAGTTTGACCGTCATTTTGACCGTGTGCCCCCCCTCCCGGGCAGGATGGATGTAGGGACAGTGATTTGCGCGAAAATTAGTTCGTCATGATAGTAGACTTGTGCACTCACTCACTACCCTCCCACCCGTATGGTTCCTACAATATGAGAGTCAAGTAGATCAAAGGCGGGATCGGGCGCATGTACGCGGCACAGTGTGAACCCGCACCTAGACGTGCCACCACACACCGTGATCCACGCACAAAAAACCAGGGTTTCATGCTGAAAAATGGGAGGGGAGCGGCTCGCATCCCAACTGAGTATGAAGGCCATAAAGGTCGCACTATGAAGGAGACATTGTAGCCTGACTCTCAGTCCACCAGTCCGCCAATCCACACAAACACGCAACGGGCTGACTGCGAGGTCAGGGTTATCTTTCCAGTTGGCAGCTCCCAGACACCAAGCCGATAAGTTGTCTGACGTGGAAACAGGCACGTGTAGTGTTTCACCCCACAAGCACCTGGCCTCCTCTAAAATTGAAATGGCAAAGAGTAGTCTTTGCCAACTAACCATCAGATCACCATAATGGCAAAAGAGCCACAATTTCGGAGTGCAGTGAAAACTCCATTCTTTGGGGAATCAACGGCTATAGCTGGCGACAAGTTGGTTGAGTCATAACGGGTGCACAGAAGTCAGGAGTGAGCAGACGAAAAGACCACTGAATTGTGCAGATCTGGGGCAGGCCCAATATATGCAGTTTAAATCAGGGCAAATATCCACTGTTTGCAAAGCACAGGGATCCGATTCGCGCCCGTCGTCGCTGCCATGCATGAGCGTAGCAAATATCTGAGTGTCTCCAGCGTACATCTGCTCACCCATCTTGTTAGGGCATATTGGAATAGAGCATCCAGCGTTCTTTCTGTCACTGTTTATCAGCTAATTTGATGGGTTTTGTACGTTTTTTTGCAGGAGCCCTGTGTCGCCTGACCTATATATACCCAGCTCCCAAGGCAGGAAGTGAATTAACACCCTGGAACGACACAGTCTCCTTAACTTCGATGGATAGGCATCAAGAACCTGCGAAGACAAAGCATCCGTGTACCAAGAAATAGAAAGTGATATTGGAAGGAGGTTATGAACGGGAACCAAACGGGACGCAACAGGATCGGTGAAAGCCTTCTTAACACAGCTGATATTCCCAATCGTGGTAGGGGACGCTCACCGATCGTTCTTATGGAAGTCACTCATTCCGTTGCGCCTTACGGGCTCTCTCTCGAGCCCAACCAGCAGCCGCACAGTGGCGCATGACATATAGGCAGTATGCTACTACCGACAAAGACTAGGGAGACTGGAATGGCCATTTTTGGCTTATTAGTCATCGTCAGCCAGTCATACCCAACCCCGAAGTGTGGAACACCCGGGGCTCGAACTCGCGACCTGTTAGTTAGAAGTCGACGCCTATAACCACTGGGCCACGAGCCCGTTGCCCTGTTACCATTGCATATTTCCGATTGAGACCGGCCTTCGAATAGGCCGTTAGAACCTGACCACTAATGTGTAAGAATTAATTCACTAGTAAATTACCGAAAACGATCGTCTGTCAACCTGTCTCCTACAAGATAGTTGGATGTATTTTACCCAAATATAACTAGTACAGGGAGTTTATTATTCATATGAAACAATTCCTTAACGGCCAAAGTATCTCATCGTACGTTTGTCTGCTCGTATACATAATTTTTTATTTTAAGGGTTATGTGCGTCCGCTATGCCATGTTCAGTAAACCATGGCTCTCGCGACCTGGGGTGGGCTGGTAGTTCTCTGGCATCGTATTCCCTGTCAGTAGATGAGCATGCTCTCTGGCTGGAAATACAGGCCCTGTGCATGGTTGTTCGGTGAATTGTGTCATCCGCTCCCCTTTCTGGCCCAGTCTTTTTGGCTAAAATCTTGGTGGAGTGTTCGTTGTTGAGCGGCGGTACGTCTAGGTGCAGGTCTGGCCGCGCCATCCACCTGCGTCAACTCCCGCCCCCGGTCCTCCGGGTTTGACACGGGAAGCAGGTGGGGGAGGAGGAGGAGAGTGTGTGGTATATGCTGCGCAAGCCCACTCTCATTATAAACTAATTCATGAGCAAGTCGCCGTGGCCCCTATCACCTTGCTGTGAAACACACGGTGGGCATCTTCGGACGTGACCGTTGGACTGTCCCACAGTGCTCGATATCTTTAGTAATATATTCCATACAAGGCTTGGTCCAGTGATCCTAGTTGATTGACACCGTATCGTTAGCTTCCTGAAGCAATTTTAGTAGGTGCGACTAAGCTGACTAGACATATGTCACGTATTTGCGCCTTCTTTGTTCTTTTAATCCAGCGAGAGACTGTAGCCCCCGAAGGGGGGGGGGTAGGGGGGAGGTAGGAGGAGTGCTTATACGCCAGCCTCGGTAACTTTATGTATCAGTTCACAGGCGCTTCCCTGCACGTGCTTCGAGTCCTGCCTACGCCCTCTTTATTATCTTTATCCAGCGAGTGACTAACCAGACTTGCTCATGGCACTGTTCGGACGAATTGGAATTCCATCGATTTCATCATAGTGACCATGTGCTGCCAATTGACACGCAGTTCCCTCCGTGGCCTTCCGGTTGTGATTAAACTTTCCTAAGCCTCCCAGTCCAGCGAGTGGCTGTGGCGAGGGCAAAGTGTGTTCACACCGCCTTCGGTAACACCAAGCACATCGGTTCACACCTGCTTCCCTGCGCGTGCTTCGAGCTCTGCTTGCGCTCTATTGCTCTTTCTAATCCAGCCAGTGGCTAGGATTGGTATGCTAACCAAAACTGTGTTAGGAAGCTGCCTATATGATATCAGTCAACTGGGGCCGCGGGACCAAAGCCCGTCCAAGAGCAAATCCCCAACGTTTTCGCAAGGGTCAGCATACTGAATTTTCATTGGCGGATAGTAAACTGATGCCAGAAAAAATTTTGCTTAATGTGGGAGCAGGAATAAACGGCGGAATTGAGATGCCGAGGGTGGGAAAAATGCGCATTTGTTAAGGGTAGGTGTCTGAAGTCCCTGACTTGACTTCCCCGTTCCCTCAGGAGGCTGTCCATATCCGCTACAAATTCGCGAACGCTTCTATTCGTGACCTTGTATTTATGACGTACACACGCAGGCTGCACGTGTGAGGCGGCCGAAGTTGTAGGCCTCGGAAGGTCAGCAGCAGCAGCAGCAGCAGCAGCAGCAGCAGCAGCAGCAGCAGCAGCAGCAGCAGCAGCAGCAGCAGCAGCAGCAGCAGCAGCAGCAGCAGCAGCAGCAGCAGCAGCAGCAGCAGCAGTTTGCCTACCTGGCACAACCGCCCGGCCTTCGGACTCGTTATGCGCCCTCACCTGAGCCTGAAGTCCCACTGACAAGACAAGTTGCCTACTAGAAGCACAGGTCTGTTAGGGACAGCCAGATGCTGTTTCATTTTAATGATGCGACGTCCTGTACGGGCCCTAAATTTGACTCGCCTCTCCCTCGCTAGCAGTCAATTACTACCAGTAAAGACAAAGGGAATCGGCATGACATGTTTCCCCTTGCCTTGTGTTTGAGTACAAATAAGTTGTCAGATGTTGGGCGCGGTCAGTCCCGGGTTTGTTTACTTGATTGCTTGTCTAGGCATAGGTAACAAAACGAGTCCTGTTTGGTAAAGTACGTTATGTGCGCATGTCAATGAGTGTTCACAATTCGCACTAATCGAGTGGGTATAAAAGGGAGGACAGATTGAGTGGCTGCATCGCCAAACCAAACGGGACATCACAAGTGATCACAATGAAACCATTCCTAGCAATTCTGCTCCTTGGCGTGCTGGTGCAGGTCGCCCTGGCGAAATCGAAGAAGGAGGAGGATGAGTATCTGTCTAAGGATGCGAAGGGGGAGGTCGTCGCGAAGGAGGACGAGGGTGCAGTGTCTCCAACCTGCGGTGGCTGGTGGGGTGGCTGTCATCACCACCACGGATGCTGTTGGCGTCGCTGCTGCCACCATCATCACCACTGTTGCCACCATCATGGTTGGGGTTGGGGTTGGTAAACCCGCATAATATGCCATTTCCTAATGACCAATAAACATATTGCAGCTTATTTTTTGACTAGTCTTCTCGATTGCCTAAGCCGGGGACGAAGCCTTTGAAGCTAGCGAACTGATTACTTTTGAACGCAACTCATGTGGTCATGCGGACTAGGATAAGGACAATGTTACGACCCACTCGACCGTATTTTTTCTATTCCCATAGCAATGTTAACGGCTGGTGTTGGGACTGGTAGACACGCATAATTCCCTCAACTCTCATTAAGGATAAAAATATCTTCGACGAGGTTTGGTCTTACAGCCCCACCTAAATGATATCGTATGGTTAGCTTTCTAAAAAAAGTTTTGGTTAATACGAATACGCCGACCTCACAAGCATCACGTGCTTGCAGCTTCCTAACCATTTTAATCCAGCGAGCGACTCTGCCACTAGGGGGAGAGGAGTGTTTATACGCCTTCCTCGCTTACATCACTTCACAGTTCACATTCTCTTCTCTCCACGTGGTTTGAGCCTTACTTGTGCTCCCTTCACTATCCTAATCCAGCGAGTGGCCAAGTAGACTTGCTAGTGGAACTGCTCTGACGATGTGGAACCCCGTCTCTTCCACTACAGCCGCCATGCACTGCAAATTACCACGTGATACACTCAGTGGCCTTTCAGTTGTGATTGCGCCCCACATATCATATTAATCCAGCGAGTAGCTATGTCGGTGGGTGGGGTGTACACTCCACCTTCACTCGCTTCCCTGCGCATGCTTCGAGCTCTGCTTGCGATCTCTTTCCCTTTCTAATCCAGCCAGTGGCTAGGATTGTTAGGCTAACCAAAACTGTGTTAGGACGCTACCTATATGATATCAGTCAAGTAGGGCCGCGAGACCAAACCCCGCCCAAGAGCAAATCCCCAACGTTCTCGCAAGGATCATCATACTGGATTTTCATTGGCGGATAGTAAACTGATGCCAGAAAAAATTAGCTTAATGTGGGAGCAGGAATAAACGGCGAAATTGAGATGCCGAGGGTGGGAAAAATGCGCATTTATTAAGGGTAGGTGTCTGAAGTCCCTGACTTGACTCCCCCGTTCCCTCAGGAGGCTGTCCATATCCGCTACAAATTCGCGAACACTTCTATTCGTGACCTTGTATTTATGACGTACACACGCAGGCTCCACGTGTGAGGCGGCCGAAGTTGTAGGCCTCGGAAGGTCAGCAGCAGCAGCAGCAGCAGCAGCAGCAGCAGCAGCAGCAGCAGCAGCAGCAGCAGCAGCAGCAGCAGCAGCAGCAGCAGCAGCAGCAGCAGCAGCAGCAGCAGCAGCAGCAGCAGTAGCAGCAGCAGCAGCAGCGGCAGCAGCGGCAGCAGCGGCAGCAGCAGCAGTTTGCCTACCTGACGCAACCGCCCGGCCTTTGGACCCGTTATGCGCCCTCACCTGAGCCTGAAGTCCCACTGACAAGACATGTTGCCTACTAGACGCACAAGACTGTTAGGGACAGCCAGATGCTGTTTCATTTTAATGATGCGACGTCATGTACGGGCCCCAAATTTGACTCGCTTCTCCCTCGTTAACAGTAAAGTACAGTAGGTGGGCTAATTCATGAAATGTCAACCGAAATGCCGAAATGCGTTCTCGTTTCGAAGAGATTAATTAAGAAGGGTTGTAAAACTAATCATCGTGCAGCATAATTCTATAATGATCCAGTTACCTCAGGGTGCCGACTTTCGAATAAACTTCTTTCCGACTGCATGCAAAAACTATACGCTGAAAAAATGACTACTGAATTGGCATACAGTTTCCCACTGATTTTCGATCCATGCAGTCGGAAAGAAGTTTATTCGAAAGTCGGCACCCTGAAGTAACTGGATCCTTATATAATTATGCTGCAACCCTTCTTAATTAATCTCTTCGAAACGAGAACCATTTCCAAATTTCGGTTTACATTTCATGAGTTAGCCCACCTACTGTACTACCAGGAAAGACAAAGGGAACCGGCATGCCATGCTTCCCTTTGCCATGTTTAATTTCCGAGGAAATTAGTTTGCGAACCTGGAGTAAATCATTCGAAACAGACCTTTTCAGGGACAGCCCGAAATTTGATATGAATATTTGAGCTGAACTCCATCAATTACAGCGGAATAACCACGTAATATTCACAAATCGCCGACGGGCAGCCAGTAGTGGAGAACTGTGTAATTATTTAGCATACTGCCGATACAAGCGAAAATGCGAGTTCCAGGAACTAGTTGACCAGAAGAAGAAGCGATCGCTGGAACAATGGCTTTATTCGCCTGACGTTTCGGATTCTCTCTTGAATCCATCATCAGAGACAGTTGCAGAAAAGGGTGGCTAGTATACAGGAAGTCGCAGTATTTATAGGATGCGGTCGCCATGCTACCGCATACCTACAGCAATTAACCGTGCTCCCTTCATCAAGGATTGTTGCCCGCTGGTGCGGTAATTGCTTGATGGCCGGCATGCAAGTTGTTAATTGCTGACATCTCATCACCCGTGTTGGATGATGGCGTGATGATTGCTCGGCCATCTGGCTCACGTGCTTGCGCGCTGCTCGAGTGGTCAATTGCTTTGGCCAGTCTATGCCTCAGGACAGAATATGGAGTGGGGATGTCGTTGCACTTGTTGATAGACTGAGGTCCCGTGAACCATGACTCACGCAACTCGCGGCTCACGCGATTATCCCCTCTCGCGAGAATTTCGGCCTCATCGAACTTGAATGTGGCCGTGGTGTCCGAATCAGCGGTCAGAAATTTGAGGCGTCGAAACAGCCATCTTGCCAGTCCGTACGTTGGAGTGCCTTTGAGCGAAACAATGGGCCGGAGAGGAGCGCCCTCCTCATGCACCTTTGGGAGACCATAGAATCGGGCCAAAGCCGTTTCTTGGGCTCTCGCCATGCGTCGACCGGTCGCTGTTATTGCACCCGAGTTCTCCAGTGCCAACAGTGTTGCATTAATTTCGCGTGTCAGCGTTTTTATGGGGTTGGTTTCACATGGGACATAGAACTGGCGATCCTCCGGTAGGTTTTTGGCCTTCTGAAGGTAGTCTGTTCTGTCCAGTACGACGGTGGAACGCCCCTTGTCCGCGGGCACAATGACGATGTCCTTGTCGGCCTTGAGTTCTCTTAGTGCCTCGCGTTCGACTTTTGTGAGTGTTTCACGCGGCTTGTGAGTCATAAGTAGGGACGTAACTTGGTGTCGGATAAGGTTCTTCTTCTCCTCTGCCGCTTCCGTCTGATTAATGACCCATTCCACTGTTGCAATCATGTTGACAGGTTTGGCGTCAGCTGTGTTGAATGAGGCTTCGTACCGTAAAACCTGTGCTTGCTCCTTCGTCAGTTCCTTTGACGACAGGTTGTGTACCAGTGCGCCGCTTCTGGATGACGTTGGATCAGGCAGTTTGTGGAATTTGTTCCCCAGTGCTGCATCGCGTGTCGCTCTCTGCTCGCGGGCTCGTTCAGTCACTTTCTGCTGAAGCAGATTTGTGCCGTTCTCGCCCATGAACTCGCAGCATCTGGCCTTTTCTTGGTCAATTCTCTGACGGTATTTGCGTAGTCTCGCATGGCAATCTTGAAGGAGCACGCGGATCATACGTCTTCCGTGCTGAAATACTGCGCGTCTCGCTAGCTCCGTGTTTACCGGAGGTTTGTATGAAACACACTTCGGCAACACGTTGTTATCGAGACACCTGTGCAGAAACCGGATCTGCGCGTAAGTAGAGGCCTCTCGAAGGGCGAAAGTTACCCATCGTCGGACCGATCGGACCGGAGGCCACCATGAGGCGTCAAGTGATGAGACCAAAAGACCCACTGCTACGGCAAGAAACATCTGGAGTCGTTTACCGGATCTGGTGCAGTTGCGGACAAAGTAACTACGTCGGAGAAACTGGAAGACTGCTCCGGACGCGAATCGCCGAAATGTACGGAGAAATGACGCCAATTCTCAGGTCGCGGCCCATTCGACGAGACCCGGCCACACATTCAAGTTCGATGAGGCCGAAATTCTCGCGAGAGGGGATAATCGCGTGAGCCGCGAGTTGCGTGAGTCATGGTTCACGGGACCTCAGTCTATCAACAAGTGCAACGACATCCCCACTCCATATTCTGTCCTGAGGCATAGACTGGCCAAAGCAATTGACCACTCGAGCAGCGCGCAAGCACGTGAGCCAGATGGCCGAGCAATCATCACGCCATCATCCAACACGGGTGATGAGATGTCAGCAATTAACAACTTGCATGCCGGCCATCAAGCAATTACCGCACCAGCGGGCAACAATCCTTGATGAAGGGAGCACGGTTAATTGCTGTAGGTATGCGGTAGCATGGCGACCGCATCCTATAAATACTGCGACTTCCTGTATACTAGCCACCCTTTTCTGCAACTGTCTCTGATGATGGATTCAAGAGAGAATCCGAAACGTCAGGCGAATAAAGCCATTGTTCCAGCGATCGCTTCTTCTTTTGGTCATTTACCATACTGACAACACAGGTACTGGCTAAAAGCCCAGACACACGTGTTTCGCCAATCTTGTGCCGCTGCCGGACGCAGTTGCGAGGGGTTCGGCTCATTAATTGACCCTCCACGCCCTCCTCTTCCATGTACTTTCTGGTATATGAACTCCAGTTCCAGCTGAAATCCATCAATTACTGCGGAATAACCACGTAATATTCACAAATCGCCAACGGGCAGCCAGTAGTGTAGAACTGTGTAATTATTTACCATACTGACAACACACGGGGAAGTCTGGGGACCAACTGATAAGCCGAACCCCTCTCAGTTTCATTAAACAGCGGCACAAGATCCACGAACCACGCGTGTCTGGGCTTTTAGCTTCTACCTGCGTTGTCAGTATGGTAAATAATTACGCAATTCTGTTCCCCTTTGTTTTTTTCGCCACCTATCGGCCATGACCCGGTCCCAGGTGCGCGTCATCCAGTCGTCGAGCGGTTTTAAAGCGAACGCTCCACTGTTTGGGGTACAGGATCACATGTCGTCGTTTGTAATTGAAACTACTTGGTGACCTGTGTGTATGGCGATCAACCAGCTATCCCCTTTACAGGACGGAGATGGGCATTTGCATTCGAGCCTTAGGGATCTGAGTCTAAAACCCTAGTGAAATGACTTTCGATAACAGGCGGCGGCCGCTATCAGTCTCATCTGTCATCATCCGTCCTAGTCGGTGAAGAGGGATAATTTAAACCCGGACTCAGTTGGGAATCCAGCTTTACGCCAATGTTTGAGCTAAGTGCCAGCGCTTTGTCGATTATTGATCACTTGCATGACGAAATACTCTCTGCCAGGGCGCTGATCTCATGCCAAGGTCATTTGCAGGTGTCTCTATTGTGAGGAGAAGTCAGAAATATACATGATTTAATTAAAAAAAATACAAAGTCCCACTGGAGTGTTTTGTCAAAGGTCTTGTGTGTTTTCACCTTTTTCACTTTGTAATGTTTGAAAACTGGGTCTTCGCCAGATTCTTAACATGGTCAAAAGCCAGCTAAACTGCGTTAGAGCGAAACCGGTATTTCGACACTAGGCCATTACTAAACGGCTCTCTCGGTTCTAACTCACGAAAATTTGGGCGAGTTTTTAAAAGACCCAAGGTTTAAACCTATGTTTCATGGCGGATTCACATACAGTGGTTTGTAATCTTGTTGCACTTGGCGAACGGCAGTATCACGCCTGCAGAAGATGCGCCAACAGGAGGAACTGTAGAACTAGCTCACATGTGCATAGACGATGCGTCAGCGCAAGATCATGAGAGTGAGCGGCGGAAATGTTCACCGTGTAACCCAAGGCATGGTGGGCACAGGAACGGTGGGTTGCGCGTAGGTCAGTTTATGGTGGCAGTGGACTTACGCAGCATCCACCGCACACTTTCTTCCCTCACCCACCCGAACCCGGCGCCAAGACAGAGTCAAGAAGGTCGGAGGCGGGAGTGGACGCAGGTGACTGGCACGGCGTGAAACCGCACCTAGGCGTGTCCCCACACCCCCTGGTCTACGCACAAAGGACCGGACCTCGCACAACAAGGTGGCTCGTATCGCAACTAAAGGCCATAAGGACGACATTGAGAAGGAGCCTCCCCGTCCTCAGAGGACCGTGTTATTACGTCATTAGACAGCCTTCCAGGGCACAACTTTTAGCACATCATGATAGTTTACAAGCGTGCCAGATTGCGTATAGCGAGGAAATGCCCTGAGATGCCGCGGGAATGGGGTCTCCAGAGTCGACCTCACTTTTTCCCTCTCCAGTGCACCACTGCGCTGTATGAGTCAGCCAGTCATCTTATCTGTGGATTCGGCACGAGTGGCTGGCGTAAGATGGGCCTGAACCTAGGCGTGCTACCACAACCCCTCTGTCATGGGGTGCGCTGATTCGGTGCAACACGCTGAACAGGTGCCGTGGCCTTATCAGGCTCCGGGGTCGGTTTAGTGCATCACCTATGTGACCCGCTGTAGGGTGCAAAGTTTATTTAACTGCCGACCACCACCAGGGCCTCCCAACGTCTCATTAAGCATACTCACAGTGATTACTGCACAACTGCATAGCTGCTAGTGGAAAAACGCGGACATGCACTAGGTCTTTATTGTACTCTAGCGTCCTCTGAGTCGCATTGGGTAAATTGGAAGTCACTGTGAGGACTGATTCCACCCATCGACCTGAAGAAATCCGTGCGCAAGAAGTCTGCGCCTAGGACAAAACCGCCAGGGAGTTATGACTCATTCATTTGAGATTCGAAACGTTTTCCATAGTCCTAAAATTTAGCCAAGAGGAAAGGTCGTGGTTAAAGAGTAATTCTAATCAGTAACCTTGCATCGAATCATATGCTGGAATAAAGTTAACTGTTCTTCGGCCACGGCATATATAGGGTCTGTAGGAAATTCTGCTACGTGCGTGAGACGGGGTTGTCAATGGCAGTAGTGTGGGGACAGTCATTATCGTATTGGCTGGGTAGTGACTATCGATTGATTATGAAGAGGAATCACGCGAGCGTATTGCAACTGATGCCCACTGCTCGTTTTGGTTCGTTCTCTTCTCTAACCAGCATTCCATGCGCCCCTGGGTTTCCAAGTCTTGAAAATTTGTCAATAACTATGCAGCGTCCAAGTAAACTTAGTGTCCAAGATGCTGATTCGGGCTCCGGATGTGCCATTTAAAGGGTACAACTAACGATAGCCGGTGAAGCCTTTACACTAGCACGTCCTACATGCATTTTGCCAATCATGAAACAAGGGACCGTGGCTTCTATTTTACAGATTGTCTCTATTCACTTTCCAGACGAAGAGTAACAGATTAAGGTTATGAGAGAAAAGGAGCCTTGAGCTGAGGACCCCTTCATGCAGAATAATCACCTTCAAGACTGCTTCCTGGGACTCGTCTCTTCGCTTCTATTGGCAATCACCTTTTCAATCAACAGGGGCGTTTTTACTTTCCCTTTCTGTTAACTGACAGAAAGAATACGGGTGTGGCTGAGTCAGTCAGTCAGTCAGTGTATTTGAGGGAAATAGGCTTACGCCTTTGAACTCCCTCTTTGTACATAAAAAATCGATAAACAAGCAAAAATGTGAATAAATTACAGCATTAAATAAATGAAAACATTTATTCACATTTGTCACTTGTCTCATGGCTAAAAAGTCACATAGTCCACTTGTTGCTGCAGCATATATCTGTCAAGCCGACATTTAAATGTCTCCACAGATTGAGACATGACAATCGTCGTGGGCAGGTTATTCCACGGTGCCACGACACGGTTGGAGAATAAATAGTTTCTCACATTCAATCTACCCTGTGGTACATGTAGCTTGAAGGGATATCCCCGGAGGTTAGTTGTAGCGGCGAGTTGGAAAAAGTCATCACACCGAAGGGCGCAATCCAAGCCACGCACGATACGGAAAGTTTATATCAAATCACCGCGCAACTGCCTAGGACTCAGAGGATAGAGACTGAGGTTAGGTGAGCGGATCTCGTATGGTAGTGCACCTTGACCTCTTATTAATTTTGTGGCTCGCCTCTCCACCCTTTCGAGCAGATTGTAATCCTGATGTGTCCATGGTCTCCAGGCCTGAATTGCATATTCGAGATGCGGCCTTACAAACGTGCCGAAGACTTTGGAGTAGCAGTCTTCATCGAAAACTGCGAATGCCCGTTTGATGGCATATAGCATTGAAGTTGCGGCCTTGGTCGCCTTACAAAATTGCGTAGAAGGCTTAAGGCTGTCTACAACCCAGACTCCGAGATTCTTCTGCGTTTCTGCTTCACGGAGTGGCATTATGTTCAGATGGTATTGCCGCGTACTAGGGGTCTGATTTCCGAGGCGCAGTATGGCACATTTGTTCAAATTGAAGGACAAGAGCCATCTGCGGGACCACTCGTCCAATCGACAAAGATTTTCTTGAAAGGTGGTCTCATCGGCAGCATTCTGGATGACTTTCCAGATTTTTATGTTATCTGCGAACATGGCACTATCATAGTCCAACATATCTACACAATCATTGATGAACAAGAGAAAGAGGTTTGGTCCGAGCACCGAGCCTTGTGGGACCCCACTCTCTATGAATGTGCGCCTTGATTGCTGTCTTTCTACGCAGACAATTTGGGAGTGGCCGACGAGGAAGTTCTCGATTCATTTGAGAAGTTTGCCGCCGATACCAATTATTCTCAACTTGTGCAGCAAACTGTTCTGCTCTTAAACTTGTCCGTAAAAATACCAGTTTGTTTAAGGCAAGAAAAAATAGCACAATATAAACAATAACCTTGCGGTTCGTAAATTTCTTGTTGAAATAATAGGAAAGCCTGTTACTATACTGAATTATATCCAGCGTTCCTGGCGATTCTAGTTTGATAAAACAATTGCTGCGTTTCCATAGCATTTTTGGGCCCGTTTGCCGAATAAAAGAAACACAAGGCTGGCTTTGTTGTTATACAGAATTCTCACTGTATGACAGTCGAGGTCTGCATGTTACCTGAAAGTTAACAGAGACATGGGCGTCCCAGTCTCCCGACTATGCCAAAATGCAAGACCTGGACAACGAAATATTTGGACCTGAAATTGATTGTTCACTAAGTTCAACGCTCTGTTTTCTGATCCATCGGCTCCATTCCTCGTAAACTGAGACTGGGAATATGAAAGTATTCTTATTGTCATCAATGGATATAAATTATTTTTGGGTTGAAGGTTCCTCCTAGGAAACTATCCGTGTTGGTTATTAGGAGGCGGAATAATTCCCAAGAGATGGAACCCATTTAGTTATGAGGCGAAAGTTTCGCCTAAATCCCCAAACTGCATTATTGATTTCAACAATGAAACATGCCACAGTTGATGATGTAATGACTGTTACAGTTCCTATTTATTTGGCGTCACACTTTTCAACAAGTGTTCAGAGCATTTTGGCTCAGATAAACTGCTCTCTTGCATACTGGATTGTTTAAATCAATGCCTATGGCGATAGGTAGACTTCGGTAAAATAGTATTATTGACAAAGACAAGGGATACTGGAATGGACTTTTCTGGCTTGATGGCCGTCGTCAGCCAGTCATACCCGACCTCGAAGTGTCAGACACCTGGGGCTCGATCCCGCGACCTGTTGGCTAGAAGTCCGAATCAAATCACTCTAATCACTGAGCCACGGGCTTGTTTGTAGGCAATGCCATTCTGCCAATATCATGCACCGCTGTGCGTCTGTTGGTTGAGCTCGAGATAGCTCTAAGGCACAACGAGACGAGTGAGTTCCCTAATAACGATCGCGAAGAGCCCATCTACCATAGTGTATTCCCGATCGCAACGAGCCCGTGACTCAATGGTTGGACTCCTAGCCAACAGGTCGCGGGATCGAGTCCCAGGTGTTCCACGTTTCGAGGTCGGGTATGGCTAGCTGACGACGGCTAGTAAGCCACGAATGGCCATTCCAGTCTGCCTAGTCCTTGTCGGCAATGCTTTTCTGCCTATATCGTGCGTCGCTATGTGGCTGCTGGTTTGGCTCGAAAGAAATTTAAGGCACAACGGGATGAGTGAGTTCCATACAAACGATCAGTGAGCGCCCCTCTACTTGCATTAAGTCCGTTTGTGGTACAAGCAGTTTACGACAGTCACAACCCTTCTTCTTCTTCACCTGACTACGAAGGCAACTGTAGGCACCGCGGTGAGAAATTCGACCATTAAACTCATAAGTTCTTGTTCGCTGCCGCACACGCGATTGTTACCATTCACTATTGACTCCTTTTCGATTCCCAGATGGTGTATGACTGTCGATGCCCGCAGAGAAGCTCAAAGTGGTCATACAATCTCCCCTTAAAGACAGAACCACTTTGAATAATTACGGTCTTGAATATCAGGGCCCCTGCTACTATCCCTAATACTGCGAATTTCTTGTTAACCACAAGACCATCGACAGTTCTGTGGATCTAGTAGGGTTGTGTGAGGTTGGGGTCGTGTGGTTGCCGGCACTGCGTATGCGGTGAGTAAATTTCGAATTCTTGTCGAAAGTCTGGGCCCGACTTCCTTCATCGAGACCCCCTTCATTTGAGCCTTCACCCCCTGGAGGTTTTCTTCGCAGAGAGAGAGAGAGAGATTGCATTCGAGGTCACGTACAGCACGTGCGAACTCAACTTTGAACTTTAACACCCGTCTATTCAATGCGCAGTTGGCGTACCCTCGCGCCAAGTCCCTCTGACTTTGCACTGGCCAATAGCACACGTCCAAGGTCATAGTTCATTTTTGTGCGCGGTGTAAATCGCGTAGTTCGCTATCGGCTGACGCAGGGTGGCTGTGCAGAGCCAATCAGATGATCGCGCTCCACCTAACAGGCGTGTAAACAGGTGCTAATGGGCGGTTTGATGCCGTCCCCCCCCGCAGAATCAACTCCGGTGATAAGGCGTGCAGGTTTGATTGCAAATCAGAAATTTTCACAGCGTCGCTTGTCCTCCATGTCCGCTTTCACAATGGCTGCGTCAGAGAGTGGAGGAGAGACGGTGGGAGTCGCGGTTCCACCCCTGCAACTGGGCGCCACACGAATGTCAACAACGCCACTGTTGCCTGCAGAGGGCACCAGCGTCCTCGCGAACTCGCCACCCACAACTCCGATGGCGCCTAAGGAGGAGAATCCAGCAAACATCACTCTGATGGCCTCTGTCACCACAACTACCAGCGTGCCGACGGAGAGCCGCACAGTAGCCGGTGACTTGACTCCCAGCACTCTCGACTCCACAAACCAGATTTCCCAGCATCCAATGTCCCCTGTCGCTGACAGTCGTGGTGTACCAACCGCCGTTACTGAAGTAATAGCAACGGGAAATGTCACGGCGGACATAACTTCCCTTGCGCCCGAAACGACGCCTAGTGCTTCTACCACGGAGGTGCCAGTAACTGCAAGCGAAAATATCGCGCCCGAAGCTCCTCCAACGAGTCCCCCTGGGGTTCTAGATACTACTTTGTCTGCTGTGTCTGAGGAACTAGTATTATCTACAACAATCCCTGAGATCTCAGACTCCACAGTGACAGCTGATGCTATGGAGTCCAACATCGCCATGACCACCATCGCAACTTCGGTGAGTTCTACGGAAGCTCCTGGTGTGTCGAATGATTCCCTTGCCGTGCCGAGGGCTTCAACCCCAACTCCAGGAAAAAATGGTTCAACTTTGCCGCCGCCAGTTGTGGGCCCTCAGTCCCGTGGCATTGCGCTCGCCGACAATTCACTAAACACTACAAAGAGTCCAGAAGGGGTTCAGTCGACCACTCAAAACCTAACCTATCCGAAGGAATTTCGACCAGGTATGCCGGGACACCTCCTTCTGGGGCCTGCTATGCTACCGGACTGGCGTCTGTACTTAATTCTGGTTTCTGCCATCGCCTTGGCAGTAATCGTTATACTCCTCATCGGCTGGATCCTCACTTGCATCTGCTTGAGGGTAAGTTCGCGGTTTGCTCAGGGGTTTCTGGCTTTTAAACTTAACTTCAAGTAATATTGCAGTAACATCTGTCTCAGAGAAGGTGTAGACTCCTTAGACATTTGGTTACGTCTCAAGTTCCTAATGTTACTGTTACCTGTTCTAGAATGACAGTCTTAAACTTCTTTTACCACAAACGGACATAATTCAAGTTGATGAAGCCTACTCCTCGCCATAAGCGTTGATTTTAACGAGTTAGTATGCAACTCTTTTCTAACCGGGAAACCTCGGAGTGGAAAGCCTGTATCCTGAACGGGGTCCATATTACCAGGGATGTAGCAAACCAGTAAGAGGCTGGATAACTTGTGGTGGCTGCTCCCAAATCTGCAATTCAGCTGGAAGAGGCTTTATCCCCTCTCATCTGGCTCTGTGCCTATTTTATTCAAATGTCCGCGCAGAAAAATAAAGCTATCTAAGATCTCGTTCGAGGCCAGATACTTTGGATGGCGTTAGGTTGACGAGACATTTCTCTTACAAGTCCACTGAATTAAATTGACTGTGGCTGACAGAAAGTGAAACAGTGGGCTTTTCAGATTGTTATTATCGACAAAGACAAGGGAGACTGGAATGGCCATTCCCGGTTTATTGGCCGTCGACAGTCAGTCATACCCGAACTGCTCGACCTGTTGGTTCGAAGTTCAACGCCTCAAACCACTGAGCCATGCGCTCGTTGTCCTGTCGGTTTCGATCAGAAATGTACAATGGTAGAGGGGTTTTTCCCTTTTTTGGTCCAATATTGGGATATGGACCTCCCCCCGTACTACAGGCGGCTTTGCGCTAAACACCAGGGAGGTTATCTATTCCCGTGTCGTAACTTAACCCTAACTCATAACCCTAACACCAACCCCGATAATTCTTATCATAACACTAGCCCCACCACACCCTCTGGAATTTGGTGTATGGCCACCTGAAAGTTAGCAGGCCACATCAATGCGCAACATTTTGTCTCGCCTTAAATGAGGTACCTCTCTTTCTGAACAAGGGTATGTGCCCGAGTATCAGACAAGTACGTCTTCTGTAATTTTATCCCATTTTACCAATAATTTCGTACTGAGTGAGCTTGTTGGCATTCATGCCAACGCATAGTATATTCCCCAAACCCCGCAAAACTGCGGCCATGGTATCGGTTCACTTATTTCTGTTGGAACCCGTCAGCGAACGCTGCCCTTCTTAACTTCACTGATATCGTCATCCCTGGAAAGTGAGGCTCTCGAAGGGCGTTCGCGAGGTGCCATCAGGAAGGTCTCTGGGCTTAAAATACGGCCCAGTTTAGATTGTTGGCTACGCAAAACGAGACATTCACGTGATATATGTCACAGGGAACGACAGTGTGGTAATTCCTACAACCAGCTGCGTTAAAGAGTTGACTATCCGCACGAAAACGCATAACAGACTGTACACATTCGTGATTGGGGGGATGTGTCCAATTTTCAGTACACAAATCTGACACTTGAAGACGACGGAGAGGCTTAACTGCTTACGTACCTAGTTGTCCTAAACGAAACGGACAAACCAATCAGTACTTGAGGTCGTGTCTAACCTCACCCTTGATTACAATGAAACGGTCTGCGTAAAGGGGGAAAAAGTCCCATTTTTGGAAAATCCTGTGGATTTCGGCGAGTGGATGTAAAATTCTGGTCTCTGAAGATGAAGATGCGATCACCGGAACAAGAAATTTATTTGCCCGACGTTTCGGATCCTTACTCGAATCCATCATCAGAGACATTAGCAGATAAAGGTGATTGTGGCACCAGGAGTGCAGTATTTATAGCACGTGGCTGCCGTGGGACCGCATGCGCACTGCAATTAACAGTTCTCGTAATCACCACTGGGGCCGTAATTGATGCGGTGGTGGCTTGTTGGTCCGAGTCCGAGTCGGTAATTGCCGCGATTTCGTCATCCGTGCTGGATGCTGGTGTGACGATTGCTCAGCAAACTGGCTCACTTCCACCGGGATAATTGCTCAACCGCGCCCTCCCCACGTGACTGATTCTCCTGCCCAGAGAAAATCGCAGTACGCTATAGGGTACCGGAAGGTCATTGTGCTTGTTGATGGATTGCGGGCCTGAGAACCATGACTCGAGCAGCTCGCGGCTCACGCGGTTGTCACCCCTTGCGAGAATTTCGGCCTCTTGAAATTTGAAAATATGGCCGGGTCCCGTCGAGTGTGCCGCCACTTGAGAGTTCGCGTCTCCCCGCCTCACTGCTGCTGCGTGCTTGGCAATACGCGTACGGAGTAATCTCCCAGTTTCTCCGACATAATTGCTTTGTCCGCAACTACACCAGATCCGGTAAACGACTCCAGACGTTTCCTGCCGTGGCAGCGGGTCTTTTGGCCTCATGACTTGGCGCCTAATGGTTGCTTCCGGCCTGTGTGCAACCCCAACTCCAAGGGGAGTGAGAAGACGACTGACGGCTTCCGAGACGTTCTTCACGTACGGAAGAGCTCTCCAAAATTTGGGTCCGGTTGGTTCCGGTTCGCTTCTATCAGCATTCTGGTCTCTGTCTGTCAGGTTTCATAAGATGCGAACTTTCAAGTGATATCCACCGGGCCTCATCCAATCAGATTTGAGACAGACCATTATCCGTTGTGCGCTGTTGGAATGACTAGTTTCCTTCCTTGGAAAGACTGAAATACCACCACCACCACCACCACCACCACCACCACCACCACCACCACCAGCTCCCTGACGTTCGTGTTTACATGAATTCTACTTACTTTTGTTGGATGGACGTCTGCATTTGGTTAGAAACCTCGGAAACGATTCGTTGTGCGGTACGTTGGCCATGTTCATTTCCATGGACTACAATGGTACAGTCGATCTTTGCCTATCTAGGCCGGAGCTGTCAACACTGAACCCCATAAAGCTGCAGAAAAAGGAACTGGGTTTACTTATGTTGGCATGATGCAGTATTAAATCATAATGACGCATGGTTATGCGTGCGGAGTTCGCTACTTAAGCTATCCTCGCCTAGTAGGAAATGAACAGCTTCTAAATGTGCCCTTTTATATAATACGTTCTCTTGGATATTATGAACGACGTTCAATAATTACATCAGAGTGGTTTTGTGGCGTTCATAGGATACGGTGGGGTCCGGAAGGTGAAAATCAATAATTTTTCGTCTCTTTCAGGCTTTTTAGATGGCGATCGATCTGAGCTCAGGTGGGTATGGTTGGGGTGGATTCCGTACTGTTAGTTGCGTAAAGTATGGGAAAATGGTTTTGAAAATTCGTCAATTTTTCTTGGCCTCCATAATTACTGCCACCTCTGCTTGACTAACAAAGTTCTGATAATTAAAATTAATCGTATTCTTAGATGTATGTGGCAACGGTATAGATATGGACCCCACTTAACTGTAGACTGAATCGTGCCATGCAGACATTAAACAGCCAACAGCAATTACTTCTCATGATTTCAAACCATTAGTCAAATTACGTTATTTTTTGAAGTCTGCTTTTGTTTATTTTTTTTCTAATTAATCCGCTCATTTGCACTGACATGCGAAATTGCCTGGACTTACACCGAAAGTCTTATCCTACGCTACTGTGCGACAACTGAAATGAGAGTAGTAATTAAACAATAAACAAAATGCAAATTTCACAAAATAAAAGACTTTGAGTTAAGGTGTGAGAACGTGGGGAGAAATCGTTGTTACCAGTGTAATTTCTGCAACAGCCAGCAAATGTATGCCAAGATAAGACCTCATACGACACGATCCGCAGTCTACTGACAGTTAACTGGGGTCCTTCTCTATACCGTTGCCGTGCTTTTAAGATTATCGCATCGGTGACATTTTAGACGCTTTAATGAAAATGCTGAATACCGGACTTCAGTGGCCGGAAGTCGATAAATCTCCGCTCGAGCATGCACGACGGCAGTCCGACCGTTCCAGGTGACTCTGGCAAACGCCAGTTGGTATGAAGTTTGACGCAGTGTCCGGCGCAACGCGAAACCGCGTTCTACCGTGTACAGCACGCGGCGATCTAGCACATACACACCCAAAGTACGCCTTTAGTTTGGAGTAAACAAATACCTAAGTCGAACCATCCCTAAACGACACATGCAAAAGTGCAGATATCATAACTAATAGGAGCGAAGAGACGAGTCTCAGGACGCAGTCTTGACGAAGGAGACACGATCGCTGGGACAAGATCTTTATTAGCCTGACGTTTCGGATCCCTGCTCGAACCCACCACCAGATACAACAGCAGATACGGGTGATTCACGCACAAGGGGCTGCAGTATTTGTAGGATGCAGTTGCCATGCTACCGCATACCTATGAACATTCACGGCTCCCCCCTTCATCCGGGATCGTTGCCCATGGCGTGATGGCCGACATTCGCGTCGTTAATTGCTGAAATTTCATCGAGTGCGTTGGATGTTGGTGTGATGATTGCTCGACCATCTGGCGCACCGACCCCGGTGTTGGGAAAAGTGTTCACCCGTGCGCTGCGCGCGTGGCTAACTACTCCGCCTAGACGAAGTGTCAGCACAGAGTATGGAAGGCGAAGCGCATTGCCCTTGTTAATGGAGTGGGGGCCAGTAAAATATGATTCCAGTAGCGCCCGGCTCACGCGGTTGTCACCTCTTGCGAGAATTTCGGCCTCGTCGAATTTGAATGTGTGGCCGGAACCCGTCGAATGAGCCGCAACTTGAGAGCTGGTGTCATTTATCCACACTGATGCAGCGTGTTCGGCCATTCTCGTTCGGGGCTGTCTTCCGGTTTCTCCGACGTAGTTGCTTTGATCGCAACTGCACCAGATTCGATAAATGACTCCAGACGTTTCCAGCCTTGGCAGTGGGTCTTTCGGTTTCATTACCAGACGCCTGATGGTTGCCTCCGGTCCCGTTAGAAACCTCAATTTTAAGCGGGAGTACAGTTGATTGAGGCTGTCATCAGTTGGGACGGAGATGACATTTTATCCGTTGTTGACTACAATACCCATCGTGGGACCCGTGAAGGTGGGCTCAGCAAATTAGTTTATTCAAAAGACAATTTGGCGAGCATACGTAAGCCTTCGATAAATTCTCATCACTCCTATACATTTATATTGCTTTCGAAATGATTAAAAGGAAAATGCGGGCAAGCAGAAGTTTTTCTGTAGCTGGGGTTTGGGAAGAGAGTCTGGGGGGGTGGGATGAAAACCACAATTACTGTCAGTGTCAGCTACAGAAAAAATTCAGCTTGCCCGCATTTTCCTTTTAATCATTTCGACAACAATATAAATGTATAGGCCTGATGGGAATTTATCGAAAGCTTACGTATGCTCGCTAAATTGTCTTTTGAATTCTTTTATGGAATTTTCGGATCTCTAAAAGAATTAATTTATAGTTACAGTAGGCTTGTACTGCTCCTCCCACACACGCCCGAGTCCGATGTTATACCCGAGTCATGAAGACCGTCACCGGGATCGACGCAATGGTTGATAAGGCTAAACACCCCATCTACGCGTGTCTGGCTCTCTCGCGTTGGACCAGGTTCCTACAGAAACAAGAAAAGGGAGAATCTGAGCCCAGATAAGTGAGACTGCAATGGAGGCCACATGAAGAAGGAGCGATGGCAGCTTGATTCTCCGTCCTGAGGGGGTCGAATCATCCCGTAGGCTGCCAGCCTTCCAAACAAAGGGCTTGTAATCCACTCTGATGGTTTAAAAGTATGTAGCGCAAGTACACTTAGGGCAAAATGCAGTTTTATTTGACAAACAATCGATTTCTACCACTAAAGCAGGGAAATACGCATGAACGGTGGTCCAATGTGAAAAAACCGTTGTTAGTTACTGCATAGTTGCCATCAATGCCATTGAGCCAGAGTTTTTGCGAACATATGCAGGAATTGGCACAAATTTTTACCCCGCTTTAATCGACTACGATTGCCGAACTCGGAAACTGTCCAAAGTATGTGGCGTACTCTATTGAGGGCCTAACTTAAATCATTTTTAAAAGTTAAATTTTGTTTTTATTCTCTAGGATACTTGCGTGGTTTGCAACACATGACTATTTCACCTGTCAGCGGGGAGGGCAAAGGTCTCCGAGTAAAGTGCAACACCCTTCCGAAGTCCAAGTGTGCACATCACGCGCAGATGTGGTTTGCTAGCTGCCGAGCAGGGAACATCGGCACTCAATTCTTTCATATGCTTTTTTTTCAGCGCAAGTACCAGAGGAAAACGAAGAAACTCCTTCTGAGCAGTGTTGGCCGGATGCCCTCGTTTCGAAACACGGACTCCGGCCGACAGTATCCCCTGACGGCATGGCCCGCAGATGTGCACTCAGCGGGCAGCGGTGAGGATTCTGTTCAGCACTTTGTGGTAGGTGCCAAGTTCAAGCTTCACAAATTTGGAAGACGGATTGCCCCTTAGTCAGGCTACCCGGCGCGTCCACAGTCCTCAGCGAAGGTGTTAGCTGTTGCATAAATAGGCTCTTGCGTCTGGCGAGCAAGCAATGGCGGTTCGATATGCTGCCGCGGCGCGGAGGGTCGACGTCTGGCTCATCGACTGGCCTCTAAAATGTCGCAAAGCCCGATGACGTCACAGGGACATGGCGACAGTGAATGGGTTTGCTTGCCAGCGCTGCCTTTTGGTCAGATCCCTCGTAGAGGAGACAATCCCGAACAGACAATCCAAGAGGCCCTTGCGGAGCCGATTGCATTGAAGAAACGCGCGTTCACCGGACAAGTAGTGGGAAGAGCTCGTCGCACATACTCAGGGAGTATCGACTAAAATTATAGATTAGTCCAAATCCAACTAGTCGTTTGTGCAGAAATGAGAGATGTCACTGCTGAACCAGCGTCAAACGCCCTCGAATGAAACTTGCCAGAATCTTTGAAAGGTGCCTATCCGCGAACACTCCATGCACTTGACTCTCAAAACCCAACGACCCCTGCCACTGCAGCGGAGATTTCGATGGACTAGGGATCGGATCACGCATAGAGGCTAGTGTTCGGACTATAGCATGTAAACTCTGGTAATTTCAAGGGCTTACGGGCCAGCCACTCGCTCCGTAGACTTAAAGTCTATTTTATACGGCATTTCGACTTACCTTGACGCCCACGGGGATTTTAGGGGAGCGTTAACTTGACTTAAGTCTAGGCGGAGCAGCTGATGCTTCAGTTGGGTTCCTTTGCTGCCAGGAGCTGTAAAGTGAAAGTTACTGCCCTGGAGGATGGGCAAAGCGTTCTAACATTTAGCAGAAAGTTAAGGACTAGCCCAGCCAGCTACGCTAGAAATAGAATACGCTGTTTTTTGCTGAACGCACTGACCACTGGCATCTCTTCTGGCCTTCAATTTCCATCCCGTAGAGTGGTTTCCTCTCTGTTGGGGCACATTTTAAAATCACCGAAAGTTGGCACAATGTGTGCTGTCTAGGAGTACTTCAAGAAGTAAAAGCAATCTTAAACGGCAAAATATATCCTACGTAAAACGATCGTGCAGTTCTTTTTGGCGATGGTGATGAGGATGATGATGACGAGGCAACAAGAAATTTCCAGTCGTGAATACGACAAAACTGTCCGTCTGCGAATACAACCTTTTGGCGGGTATTGGTTGGAGTTCCGCCCGACCTCGTCGTAGCGTGCGCTTCTAAGTGCAGGTAAGGGCAGCGGATTTCAGTAAACCAGACAGCATCAGCAGCGGCCTGTTTCCACATCCATTTACGCACGGAAGTCGATGTTCAGTTGCCGTGACGTGTAACCGCGCACCAGAAAATCCATTCAACCCGCCTTAGAGACCGTCAGGCGCCCTGTCGGTGAGACCCACGCTGCAAAACACATAGTAAATATACGCCGACTGGTAAGGTAGGAAATGGAGGGGGTGGGGCTTTCAGTCAGTGCCAAGACTGTTCGTTTTCTAGTTAGTAACGTGAAGTTCGGAGTCGGCAACGCGAGCATCCTGACGTTAACCACCCACTTCGTTCATACGTACTACAGGTGGGCTAACTCATGAAAGTTCGGAGTCGGCAACGGGAGCATGCTAACGACAGCGTCGTCAGAAATAATGTAAACCACGGAATCCTGAAATGAGTTTTCGTTTCAAAAAGATTAATTAAGTAGCGTTGTAAAACTAGTCAGCCTGCAACATAATTCTATAATATTTCCGTTGCCTCAGGATGTCGGCTTTGGAATGAGCCCCCTTCCGGCTGCATGCACAAACAACACTCTACAAAAAAGACTGCTTAAGTAGCATGAATTTTTCTCATTGATTCTCGATGCCCCTAAACGTCCAATTATATTTCATGGAAATTATGCAACCACATAAACCGACGTCGCTGCCCTCCTAAATGCTGCAAATCAGGCACATCCGTCGATCAAATTCACGTTGGAGATGGAGTCGGCTGGTTCGCTTCCTTTCTTAGATGTCCTTCTAAACAGGAGATCTGACGGTAGAATCCGAAGGAGTGTCTATCGAAAGAAAACCTGGTCTGGACAATACACGAACTTCGCTAGTTTCGTACCTCTCAAACAAAAACGGAATCTAGTCAGGTGTTTGGCACAAAGGGCTAGAAAAATTTGTTCGACAGATAGTATCGAGGAGGAACTTAAAAAAATCCAGGACTTGCTTCCCGAAAATGGGTAACCTGACAGGTTCATTGCAAAGAACCTTGCCGAACGACCTGCAAAACCCACCACACTAACCGCCGAAAAGAAAACGTTGTTCCTCAAAGTCCCCTTCCAAAGAGACGCTGCAGGTAAACTCCTAAGAAGACGCCTTGACCAAGCTGTCTCGGGAACCTTCCCAGCAGCAAGGGTTCGCATATCATTCTCCACTAACCCTATTCTACACGGAGAAGGCAAGGATAGGCTGCCACCTCAGACCGCCTCAATGTGCATCTACTCATTCACTTGCTCCTGTGGAGCAGGTTATATTGGTCGTACGAGTCGGCGCCTTTCCAAAAGAATACGAGAGCACCTTCCCGCATGGCTGGCAAAGGGTGAAACTAGGAGAATAGACAGCGCCATCCTTGCGCATGCAGTGGACTCAGGGCATCGTGTGGACCCCACTGAAGCATTTCGTGTGATTTACAAGGTCCCCTCGAGCTACCCTAAGCTACTGGGCCAGCGCCTGTTAGCAACAGCAGAAGCGGCCGCCATAAGGTTACGAACACCGACCCTATGCGCACAAAAGAACCTTGTTCAGGCTCCGCGCTTACCGTGGTCAAAGGTTGACTAACCACATACAACTTTCGGCGCCCTGCCGCTCTTGCCGAGCCTGTAATTTAAAAACTAACTTTTATCGATTTTTGTTTCACTCACTGTACCCCGCCCTATGTAACTGTATTGGCCTGATGAGAATTTACCGAAAGGAACGTTCACTCGCCACTTTCTCTTCTAAATATTCATTTGTCCGCTCATTTGGTAGAAAATTACGTCTTGTTTCAATTTTATACTCGAAGGAGGGATTTAATTCGACTTCAAAAAGGTTTCCAATTGTGAGATTTTTTAATACCATGAAATGGCATTTCATAAATCGTCATGTCTCTGCATTTACCAATGTGGCTTGTAAAGTTAACAATATGGATCAAATCCACCGCAAAGTTTTATGAACACTATACAGCCCCCTTCATTACCGTAGACAAATGCGCGAATTCAGCACGCGGAAAATATACAGCTTATAGTCTGGAAACTCCGAATCCACGAGTAACGGTAGAGCGGGTTCAAAATTATTCGGGAATTGGAAAAGTTTTTGAAAACCGAATATTGTCCCTCCTTCGAGTATAAAATTGGAAGAAGACGTAATTTTCCACCGAATGAGCAAAAGGATGATTATTTTTATGCATGTTTCCATGAAATATAATTGGATTTTTAAGAGCATCGAAAATCAATGAGAAAAATTTATGCCACACAAGTAGGCATTTTTTGCAGAGTGCTATTTGTGCATGCAGCCGGAAGGAAGTTCATTCGAAAGCTGGCATCCTGCGGTAACTGAAATATTATAGAATTATGTTGCAGGCTGACTAGTTTCAGAACGCTTCTTAATAAATCTTTTCGAAACGAAAAGGCATTTCGGAATTTCGGTTGACATTTCATGAGTTACGCACGTACGTAAATGCGAAAAACCCACTTGCTGACAACTGGGGGCCGAATATTCTTTAGACACGCCCCCCCTCCCCTGGGGATCTGTCCTACGCAACACCAGCTCACCAGATGCCTGTAAACAAAGTGTTTGAGAGCACACGTCAAGAGCCGTCTGATAGCAGCCTTCAAAGTTGCCGTCTCGGAGGATTCTCTATGAGGAATAACATCCACATACCTTTATCCTAACTAGGGTGATACTAAGCCGCCCAAAGGCACCCCCTCGGTGCCTCGAACGGGCGGTTATGCTTCGGTGCAGAAGAACAAGCACAGCGAGCCTGGTAGCTACGTTGCGAACTCTCACACCACCTCCACGCCGATAATGCAGAGGCAGAACAACCAATCAGAGCAGGGCTGGCAACCGCCGCCGCCGCTGTCAGGCCAGGCGCCACAGGATCAGCAGAACCAGTCCTACCATACCCTGTCGTCCTTCCAACCCGCGGGGGGTGGAGGTAGTGCCTGGTCAGACTACGATCTGTCACTTGGACGACGCGACCTCCGCACCGCGACGGCGGCAGAGGAGAGTGGACCTGTGGCCAGTAGCCTGAGAATGCATCCGAACGTGCACAGGGGTCTGCTGGCAGAAATGAACGCCGGCGTGCGACTTCATCCCGTGGCCCCACAGCCTCCGAATCATATCTGAGGTCGACGGACTGTGCACCCTGTCCCCCGCCTCCCCTAACAAATGCTATTTTGCCTTTCTGCTCTTTTCATTTTATGCTTCCGCTTTTGAATACGAAAAGAGGAAGTGACGTTTGAGTTTCCTCTTAACTATGTAGAATGCCTGCATCGACTGGGGTGTCCTCATTCGGTTGCGCCTTCGCAGGCAGTGGCAAATGCAGAGGGAGGAGTGCGGAGAGAGCGAGAGGGAGAAGGGATGATCGTTTCTGCCTTATCAGCCATCGTCAGCCAGCCACACCCAACCCCAGGGATTCAAAACCGAATTCTTCAGTTGTCGTGGGTTTTTTACATTCAGCACGCTGTCCGGCCACCCACCGAGGCAGGTTCACGGGTAAGGCTACGGGACGTGCTCGCCCCTTTGTGCCTCGAGGTTTATTGGCGACAGCAATTAAGCCAGAACTGGTCATCTCAGTCGCCCTTTTCCTCAACTGTACTCTTTCCTGCATTCTCCGTTCGCCTACTTAGATATTGCTGCAACCGGCTTGGAGCAAACGGGAAGGATGGTGGAGGTAGAGCCCTCATAGGCGGTCAAATGACCACAAGAAATGTCACTGATACAGACAAGGACGGTCAGATGTGGTTATGTAGTCCTACCTGTAGTAAACAAAACCTAACCACCTGGAGACCGGAACCGGTGGTAAAAGGTGTTTCTGCAGATGGGGTCGGGGAACGCACAGGTGACGAGCTCAAG